CCTGCCCCAAAATTTCTGCCCTCTGAATCGTTCATGCAATTCCCATTCATGCAAAACCTAAACCTGAACATAATCCAGCCTCTCACACAGAGATACAAACACTACAAGAGGGAGCATTTATGAAACTTGTTTTACACTCTCTACCAAGTTTAAACATAGTTACTTTTAAAAATAATTTCGAGTTTATCTCAGCAACTCTGTTAGTGATTTACACAAGTGATTTCATGGCATGCCCATCACAGCCCTGTGACACAGGTAATGACATCCCCATTTTACAGAAAATGGAATTGAGCCTGCAAGAGATTAACCTGCCCAAGTTTGAGCACCTGGTAAGGGCTAGCACTTGACTTTGAGTCATAAATGTTTTAAATCCTAAGCTTATACTCTTCTATGCAGTCTGCTGCTGGCTGACAGGTGTCGAAAGGCAGCAACCGGCACAATACCTCCAAAATAGTTCATGAATTGATGAAAATGAACAAGTGAATAAGTGAAAGTGAATTGAAAACCATCTCAGGAAGCAGATAATATTGTGGTGCTGTAAAGGTTTGCCAACCATATAACACACAATTTTTAGGGGAGGTCAGAAGTTAAATAATTTGTTGAAATTTATTAATCTAAGAATGGTCCTGTTCAAGAAGGATATATGAAGGACTTACCATGTACCAGATACCACATAGGTAACAGGGCTATAATAAGTCCCTTGAATATCTCAATGTCTAGTTTTTCAAAGCATTTGTTTTAATTTTCATAGAGAAAAGTTTGCATAAGTCCTATAAAGTAAAGGCAAAATCTGATTCCCAAAAGAGATATTACAGAATGATGCATAATGCAGAATTAGACAAAGTTCCATTCTGGAGTTATTTTTGCACATATTCCTTTCATGTAATCTTTTGGAGAGGGAAGGGGACCATGTTTTGAAGCTCACAAGGGCATCTGCAGGCCATGTTCATCAACATCCTTAGCTTCCACATGACTACCAAAAGGTAACTGATCAAAAGGAGATACCATGAAAGGTATTCTAGTTCCTAACTTCACAACCCCAAAACAGGACTGTTCATTTTTCTCAGTGATGTCATTACTTAACACAGTTTCTAAAATGGGCCTAAGATTCTCTTTCCTGCTACTAAACAAGGAGAGGAATAGTGTTCCAAAAATATGTCAACCAAGAACATCTTTCTGAGCTAAAGTTTTGAATTTGGAGGCACTACAAGGATTTGGGGGTAGGGAGGCTTTAGACATTTTGGGGTCAATTACATAGTTGGATGCCATTTGTAAAATGAACACACAGAATCAGAAAACCCAGAAGCTAAAGGATATGTTGTGAGGATGTGTTTGTTTTGTTTTGTTTTTGTTGTCAGAGGGCTTATGATAGATAGAAGAGGTGAAGAGGAACCCTTTCCAATGATCCTCATTGCCATTTGTAATGAGAAACTGAGACCCAGGGGGTGATGAGATTTTCTCAGCCAGCATTAGAAATCCAAGACAAGAAGCCTGGTCTCCCATCTTCTGCTCCAGCAAGCCGTGTCCTCAACTCAGTGCTTTGGGAACTTGCTCCTCTCTCACACCATTCCTCAGATCATTCTTTCTCAATGCTTCTGTGGCTTTGGGATGTGTGTGGTGGGAAGAGGGTGAGGGGAAGGGCTCCTTGCTAAAGCTATGATAGTCATGGGAAAGTAAACAAAGTGTAGTATTTTCCTTGATTCTGTTTGCTTGCATGTAGATCTGGAATGCACTTCTTGTGGAAAAAAAACTATAAAATTCATGAAAATATAAAGAAAAATGAGTCACTCACATTTCCACTATTCTGAAATACTGTTACCACTTTAATATATTTCATTCCAGCCTTTCTATGCACCTTTTATATGGCTTATTCCACATTGAATACATAATTGTTTCTTGTGCCTCTTACTTAACATTGTCATAGACAATTCCACTTATCACCAAAAATCTTTCTATGCATAAATTTGAGTGGTAACACAATATTTCATCACAAATATGTATCACAATGTATTTTAAAACTCCAATAATGTTTGTTTTCTAACGACTAATTTGTCTAATGAAATGGCAATGAAAATCTTGATGTCTATGTTTCAGTCTGCATTCCTAAATGCCTCCTCAGGTTGACTACTGGAAGTGAGATTCTTGAATCAAATAGTAGGTATGAACAGTCTTAAGAATCCTGGTAACTTTTTAGGAATAGCTTGCAAATTTATAGTCCTTTTAAAATTCTCTGGGAATAGGCATTCTAATTATGTTTCTCCATTCTCTTCCATCTTTTTCTAACCCCAACATCTGCTATCCAAAGGAATTGGATAGCCTATATAAACCAGCGCTACAATTGTGTAAAATAATAATTAAACACTTCACTTAGGTAAACATTTTCTTTTTTCCTGATTATGCAATGGGAAAGAACAGCCATATGCTCTAACTCTGAGCCGTACAGTGTAATAGCCACTAGCCATTCCAAAGTGAGATGTGCTGTAGGTATAAAATACACACACCAATTGCATGTTCTCAGTTATTTATAAGATCTTAAACTCAAAACAATTGAACTCATGGACATAGAGAGTAGAAGGTTGGTTTCCAGAGGCTAAGAAGTATTATGGGGGACTGGAAGTGAGATAAGGATGGTTAATGGGTTTTAAAAATTGAATGAATAAGACCTACTATTTGATAGCAGAGCCAGGTGGTATAGTCAATAACAGCTTAATTTTACATTTTATAAAGTAACTTAAATAGTCTAATTGGATTGTTTGTAACTCAAAGGATAAATGCTGGAGGGGATGGATACCCCATTCTTCATTATGTATTTAGTTCAAATTGCATGCCTGTAACAAAACATCTCATGTACCCCATACATATATACATCCACTATGTACCCACAAAACTTAAAAATAAATTTAAAAAAAATTAAGTAAAATACATACCAGAGTTTGAAGACTCATTACCAAAAATGAGAATTAAAATATTTCACTAAGATTTGTATGTTGACTACATATTGAAATGATATTTGGAATATATTGAATTCAGTAAACTGTATTAATTGTATCTGTTTTTTACTTTTTAAATGTGGTTTTTAGAAAATTCATATACATATATATATATGGCTCTCATATAACTATTGGATAGGGCTGCTCTAGGTAATCCTTATATTTTATCCATGGATGTACATAGCTAATAACTTAATTCTGTTTTCCCTTAATGGCCTGTATGAATTCAGGAAACTGGCAATATGGAGCTAGTGTTTCCTACTTTCTTTTATAGTCCTTGTAGAGTTAAATTTTGTCTCCGTGATCTTTCTTAGTTTCCTTCTGTCCATCATGCCAGCCTATATCCTTTAAGCTAAACTTTTACCATGAAAATTCACCCAGTAAGTCATTTTCCTTCCCTCCGTTCTTTCAATCAATTTAAAAACATTGATTGTTCACTTATAATATAATCACAGTGCTTCCTCAGCCTAGGAATACAAAGGTTACTAACACATAGTCCTTGCCACTGTGAAGCAAATAACCTCATGATGGAGATCCACCTCCGAATAATTAGGGAGCAGTGAAATCATTTCCCAAGTAGAGGTAGATTCGAAATGCTGTGGAAGGACAAGAGAAAGGAGAGACCAACTCTCCCTAGGTGTTGGATAGGGGTGAGGGGAGGGATGAGAAGAGGTGCCACCCGGGTGACCTGGACTTTGAGTGGGATCTTAGAAGTTGGAGCTTGCTCAAGAGGAAAGAATCTCTTGAGATAACCAGCAATATGTGAAGGAGACCAGCTGAGAATCCACTGCTAAAGAATAATGAGGTCGAGGGCAAGGAGGGAACTGTTCTTAACATTGAGATCATGTTATGAAATATGCCATGCTCTATTATGTGGTCTGTGCTACCTGTAGAGTATGTGAGAAACTGTTTATTAAAGGATTCTCATATTCAGATATGAGGTTTAGAAAGATTCCTCTTGCAGCATGAACTAGAGGGTAGAAATGCAGGTCATGCAGAGAGAAGTTTAAGCAGGATATTAAGATTTTTGCCTGGAAGGTTTCAAAAATGCCTTATCGGCCAGGCGCGGTGGCTCATGCCTGTAATCCCAGCACTTTGGGAGGGCAAGGGGAGCGGACCACGAGGTCAAGTGATCGAGACCAGCCTGGCCAACATGGTGAAACCCTATCTCTACTAAAAAAATAAATAAATAAATACAAAAATTAGCTGGGTATGGTCGCACAAGCCTGTAGTCCCAGCTACTTGGGAGGCTGAGGCAGGAGAATTGCTTGAACCTGGGAGGCGGAGGTTGCAGTGAGCTGAGCACTGTACTCCAGCCTGGCGCCTGGCAACAGAACAAAACTCTGTCTCAAAAAAAAAAAAAGCCTTATCATTCTTCATGACTCAGTTCAAATATCACTTCCAGGAAACCTTTCCTGGTGAGTCTTATTAGAGTTGGTAATTTCTTCTTGGTTCTTAACCCATTTCTATTCTCTGTAACTGTTTTTAACAGGAAGCATCACACTGTACAACTCTACGCACATTACCCACCAGTCTCTCGGTTCTTCAGGAAATTACCATCTGGAAGGATGCATGCTTAATTGTCTCTTCTGAGAGGCCTTCTCTAATCACCTTTTCATTTTTTTAAGACTATTTTTTTTTGCGCGGTTTTAGATTCACAGCAACATTGAGAGGATGGTCCTGAGGTACGCCATCTGCCCCCTATCTTTTCATTTTTATTCTTTACTATTATGCATTTTTGGCTTCCTCCAAAACGCTTATCACAATTCATAATTTTACATTTTACATAATTTACATTTGTATGTTTACATTTGTATTGTCTGTTATCTCTACTATCCTGTAAATTTACATTTGTATGTTTACATTTGTATTGTCTGTTATCTCTACTATCCTGTAAGATTCCTATAGAAGAAACATGCCTATTACATTCACCAATAAACATACAATGTTAACACTTAACAGCCCTTCAATAAATAGTGTGTCAAAGGAACAAATGAATGAGTACATGCGTGCTTAATAAATGTTTATTTAATGAACAAATTGGCTAATGAACAAATGAATGAATGATTTATTCCAGAAAATACGTGCTGCTAGACTGCTACTGATATTTTATTCCACTTAAGGTCTGCCACATTGGTGCTCCAACAGCCGATAGTGCAATCCATGCTAAGTAATAATTACAAGGTAGAAGTAATATAGTGGTCGTGTTGGCAGAAATCCCTAAGTGATTTATTCTTCCAGAGAATAAATGCTAGAGAGTTTAGTCATGGAACGCTGAAGGTGATAAGTAAAGTCATTTCTCCAGGTTGTTCAGGATCCACGGGAGAAGACAGGCATGTACACAAATGGCACTAAACGATGAGACAGTGAGGTGGCACAGGGTCACGGGGGACACTGTGGAGGGACTCCTAAACTCAGTGTCTGTGATCAGGGAAGAGTGAATCCTGAGCAGAGTCTTAAGGGATGAGTTATTCTATGAGGTGACTGGTGGTAGTTGTATCAGGCAAGCAGAGGAAAAGTATAGACACCTGGAGGAATGGAAAACCAGAACGAACAGCTTCATGGATGAATATCCATTCAAAAGGAAACCCCAGCCTCTTGGCTTCTTCATCTTTTCTGTTTCTCCTTTCTTTAGCTTAAGCATACTTTCAAGCAAAAAGGTGAAAAACATAAGAAATACCACTTTCAAATGAAAGGGCTCCTCAGTTTCATGTTAGGTGAGTTTTAGACAATTCAAGAAAAGATTAGGCAAATGGCATGCTGGCCTCCTTCCCATGGCTGTATTCCACAGAATGAAAGCAAGCCCAGTATTTCTGAGTAATTAGGTCAGCCTCACTCCCAGAGGATTAATTAAACTCCCAACAGATTATGGCAGCCACCTTTCATTTCTACAGACAAACTCCATCAGCACAGTGATTTCAATTAGAGAATTGAAGTTCAATTGCCTTATCCTAGACACAAGGAGACACAGCAGACAGATAACAAGCTGGATTACATCAGCATTAATCTTATGGTCATGGTATCAGAAAGATTTTTAAATGCATTACCTCTCTCCCATAGGAATAACAGAGAAGATTTTTTTTTTTCTCTCCTATTACAATAAGTCTAATCTTCTCACAAGGTGATGGGTTGATACATAAATTGAGAGTGAAGTCAAGACCTACTCGCTTTCTGAGAGATCATAAGTTCCTGGCTGGACTTTGGAGCTGTACCTGCTAAAGACCACACCTCCCAGTGTTGGTCCTCACCAAATTGCTAGATAAAAAGAAAACCTCAGATAAATTGTCTGGATGTTCATCTAGAAAACACCAATGAGACAGATAGATTGACAACTTGGTTATATAGACAAGGTGGAGACAGCCTCATACTAATGAGTTAATAGCCCATGACCTTAATGAATGTAGTGAAAACAGGAATATTCAGAAGAGACTGTCTGCTTTCAGCCTAGGTGCTTCTGTGTCTCACCTTCTCATGCCCCTTTTCCTTCCTTATCTCTGTTTAGTGGTGTGATTTACCTTTCCTATCATGTTGTGCTTGGGTTGAAGGACCTGCATTATCTACATTTCCATGAATGATGCAGAAATCCATAGGATCCTTCAACAAGCACATTCTTTTTTATTTTTTATTTTTTATTTTATTTTATTTTATTTTGGAGACGGAGTTTCGCTCTTGTTACCCAGGCTGGAGTGCAATGGCGCGATCTCGGCTCACCGCAACCTCCGCCTCCTGGGTTCAGGCAATTCTCCTGCCTCAGCCTCCTGAGTAGCTGGGACTACAGGCACGCGCCACCATGCCCAGCTAATTTTTTGTAGTTTTAGTAGAGACGGGGTTTCACCATGTTGACCAGGATGGTCTCGATCTCTTGACCTCGTGATCCACCCGCCTCGGCCTCCCAAAGTGCTGGGATTACAGGCTTGAGCTACCGCGCCCGGCCAACAAGCACATTCTTAAGACACCACAACCCAAATCCCAGGTACATGTTGGATCTCAATGTCTGCTCAGGCCTACAATATCACCAATCAAGTTTCAACCTCCTAGTTCCCAGGTGAAGAAATAGGGAAAGATTGTCAAAGACCATGGAAAAACTGAACATCCAGTGAATTTTTAAAAGCTGCAATTCCATCAAAGTGATATGGAAGTAGGAGCAGGGAAGTGCTGACTAGAGACAGGTGGTGTCCCTAGCAAGGGTTTCACCCTTAGGCCTGTGCCAAAGAACCTAGCGTAGGACAGGCACGCCTGTTTTTATGCCCAAATGTTGCATGTTCCAAGAACACCCTGGCCCGCCACACCCCCGATTCTGTGCCTATGAAAACCTCAAGACCCTAGAGGGCACAGACACACAAGTGCTGGATGTCGAGAGGAACACACCAGCAGGCAGGCTATTGACAGTGAAACGGTGCAGAAGCCAAGGGAAATTTGGCCTAGCATGGTCAGAGGAGAGCCTAGCCACAGAGTGGCCCGACTTGAGAAGAAGACCATCTTCCCACTACATTCCCATTTTGGCTCCCCATCCATCTGCTGAGAGTTACTTCCACCACTCAATAAAACCTTGCACTCATTCTCCAAGCCCACAGGTGAACTAAGGCAAGAACTCCGGGATACAGAAACCCTTCTGTTTTTGCAATAAGGCAGAGGGTCTAATTGAGCTGATTAACACAAGCAGCCTATGGATGGCTAAACTGAAAGAGCAAATTGTAACACATGCCCACTGGGGCTTTGGGAGTTGTAAACACTCAACCCTAAATGGAGCAATGACCTACCTGTCTGCATGCTCCCCTATGAGTAGGAGCCGTGGGGTACTGAAGAAGTGAGCCACACCCCCATCACTCCCCTGTGAGGGGGATAAGGAAACTTTTCCCATTTCAAGAGGACTCAGACAACAGAATGAAAAGGTAATCTACAGAATAAGAAAAAACATTTGCATATCCTGTATCTGATAAGAAGTTATTATCTAGAACACATAAAGAACTTCTAAAACTCAACAACAAAACAAATTCTTCAATTAAAAAATGAGCAAAGGATTTAAATAAATCTTTCTCCAAAGAAAACATATTAATAGTCAACAAGCACATGAAAAGATGTTCAACATCACTAATTACTGAGGAAATGCAAATCAAAACAACAATCAGATATCATTTTACATGCATTAGAATGAATGCTATTAAAAGAGAAAGAAAGCAAAGGAAGAAAGAAGAAAGAATGAAGAAGAAGAGGAGGAAAGAATGAAGAAGATGAGGAAGAAGAAGAAGAGGAAGAAGAAGAAGAAGAAGAAGAAGAAGAAGAAGAAGAAGAAGAAG